AAATAGTCAAATAGTTTGCCTGCAGTCTCCTCCTACACAGTCAGGAGTTGAGCTGCTAGACCCGGTACTGCGGCACAGCTTAGCCCGCTCATTGCTCTTAACTATATTAGATAAAATGATGCCAACTGCCCCTAGCAGCCACATAACATCGCTAAATGTTACATTTGTAACACAATACGAAAATGATCCATTTGTAGCATTTACGCACCTGTAACACTTTAAACATTGTATCACTTTAAGTTTGTTACAGGAAGATCAAATGTAGCAAATACTCAATATACCCATTTTTGATAGCTCTACATTGTGATGTTTATTTATATTTTATTTATGTTTATTTATTTATAGTATGTTTACATTACATTTATAGTTACATTGAGATAATATCAAAAGCTTAATATCAGATAAATAACTGTTGATATGTGTGGCTTTGTATTCAATCAAACAGAAGTTTGCATATCAATGTTTTATTATACACTACAGGGTGAACAGTGTGTGGCTGATCAGTATAAGATCATACTTATTTTTTCATACAATAACTGACTGACATGTTGTCTTAATCCATTTACATTTTTCTATCCATTCGCACTCACATTCACACCTTTCGGCAATTTAGAGTCATGAATTAACCTGACCCCGCTAACTGCATGTTTTTGGACTGTGATAGGAAGTACCTGGGTAGAACCCATGCAAACATGGGGAGAACATACAAACTCCACACAGAAAGGTGGGTTGTTAATGTATGTAGCTGTATCAGTTTGCTAACAGCACAAACAGGATGAGCACGTACTAGCACTAAAAATACACAAACCTTATATATTGCATTCTTCTTACTTTAGTAAATAATCCAGCAAATATAATTTTTTTTTAACTTTATGCATCCAATATAGTTTTGTTTTTGTCAACTTTTCAGTTCATGGATGAAGGACGATGGATCAAGAAAAATCTTAATTTATTTATTAAGAATAAAAATCTTCAGTTTGATAGATGACAGGCTGCCAGACTGAAGTATTAGACTTAAATGAATTAAGTTTGTGTTAGGGCTCTGTGTGCGGAGAGGAGGATCCAAACGCAGGACTCAGACACTAACTTGAAACTCAAAGACCTCAGCTTTATTGCTGGTACGAAAGCAAAACATGAAGTGAACATGGACTATGGAGAACAGAAACACACAGGCATAATCTGATGGTACGACGCAACACCGAGCATGGGAAAACACAGGGCTTAAATACACAGGGTAGTAATGAGGGAATGGACAACAGAAGGGAGACACAGCTGGGGGAGATCAGGGCTAGCGAGACGGGGGAGCTAAGCTGCACACACTAACATAAGACAAAGACTTTCACAATAAGACAGGAAACAAGAATTACTAAACCAGATGCAGACATGACACTGAGAGACAGACTAGACACTGAACAGAAACTGCAACACACATGAGAACCCAAAACCTAAGAACTGATCCCTCACCAAGAATAACAGAAACAGATCTATAATGATAATAATAAACAAAGCACCAGAACATCAGAAAACAATCCATAATGCAAAAATAAACCAAAACATAATAAACTCAAAATACTGGGTCCAGCGGACACAGAACCGTGACAGTTTGAGGCAATTAATCAGATCAAATCACATTTTCTAATCATGTAAAAGGTATTTTGTAATAAAACCCTTCAGTCTGGCAAAAGCAATGCTAAAACGATGTGAGCCTCTGCTGAACTTCTGGACAATAGGTTGTAACGTTAGTGAATTTTGAAAATGCTAAATGAATGTTTCATGCAGATAAGTGTATTACAGAAACGGTTAGACTGTTGTTGTGTAGCATTTCCTTTTTAAAATGAACTGCTCCAACTTTATGTCAACACTTATTGAATGTACACAGACTGCGCACACATGCACAGATAAACCCCCCAGTCGGTCGCTTCCCAGAAATCCAATCCCATCACTGCAAATGCAGCACTGTGATAATGACATCCTCAGTAATTAATTAAACTAAGCATAATTAATCAAAACAAGCACATTAAACCCTAACAATCCACGGTGATGATTGATGGAGCTAATTAATACATTAATATCAAAGAGAAAGAATGGAATTTAATAACGCCATGCAAAATTAATGCACAGGCACCATGAAAATGAATATGAAATGTATTTGAGGGATTGTAATTGGCTTTGTGTGTTTTCCACAGAGAGAGAGAGAGAGAGAGAGAGAGAGAGAGCGAGCAAAGAGGGAAATGGAGTCTGTGTCCAAGTATGTGTGCGCGTGTGTGTTACCTTGAAGTACTCCATGAGCGACCGCGAGTACTTGACAGCGTGGTCTTTCTTCAGATGGAACATCCTCAGATATAGCAGAGACAGACAGCGGTTACTATGGAAACAAAAGCATTAGAAGGCAGATGAGTCCTCTGTACAAATTCCCTTTAAAGATCTATCCTCAATATTATTTTCAAGTCATCCGCACAGAATGCACCCGGACTTCAAACGTGCCCCTCAAATCCTTGTGGATTAGGAAGAACTTCAATGAAATAAGGAATGTGGGAACTATATAATACTGTGAATGGAGAAAAAAACAAAACAGCGGCTGTGCGTCACGGGAAGCTCACACAGTCACAAAAATACAAAAAAAAAACCCACAGCAAAAAACACTATTTTTTGGGGGGAAATCAAGCTTCCACATTCACTGGGCCTCATGGCTAACAAATCTGAACACATTTAGTGTAATGTGGTAGGATGTGTCAAATACCACATCTTATTTTATTTGTCATGAAAATACTAAATGTTCATGCTTTTTTAATTTGTCATTTATTAAAATTATAAATATATATTTTAACTCAAAAGTACAGTTTTTAAATTTAATGTTGCTGAAACAACAAAGGTATAAAATAATAAATCTATCTGAGCGAGAAATCACTCATCTTTGGAAAAGAGAGTTTATTACAGAGAAATGGCTCTTTCCAAAATAAAAGCTATACTACGCTTCTTCTGGGCTATATTCTCAGCAGCATATTAAACATATCAGGTCCCCATGAGGAGAATCATGTGCTAACGGCTGTCTAAATGACTCGGGTAAAGTTTGTAGCATGCATGCTTGTTGTTTTTGTCTGCTTCCACTTGTCTTTGCACTAGGATGATGTCGGAGTAAACGTGCAGTCATATTCATTTTGTTCCCACTAGTGCTGTCAGCGTTAATCTGAAATGACGTTAACGCCACAACACGGCAAATCTCAGTTAACGAGCATGGGGCTGGACGGCGTAAACACGTTAATGAGCTAACTGCGCTAACACACTAGTTCCCACCCATGTAATTGAGCATTGCGTGGCACATCCAACATGCTGTTTTACTTTTGTCCATGACACGCTTACCTTCAGGGTCATACGTCACATGAAAACCAAAATAGTTCCAAAGGCCAGATCTGAATGAGGGTGGGGGAGGTTCAATTTGCCATGTTGCAAGGAGCTTAGCTTCTGTCTTGCTAGCTTGTGCTGCACTCAGTGGATCTGAGCTCGACAGTGCAGCCTAGGCGGAGTAGTCGAACGCAGATCCACTGAGCATCGTCAGAAGGAAAGTTGATAAAATAAATTAAAAATTTTGTATTGTTCGATACATATGCATACCAAACCGAAAGCACTGTACCGAACGGTTCAATATCCATACGAGTATCGTTGCACCCCTAGAAAATACGTGTGACATGTGGTGCAGTAGCTAGCACTGATGCCTCACATCAAGATCAGTAGATCACTACTCTCAGTACAAATCAGTGTCGTCTGCAAACATCATAATCCACAAAAACTCCTGCCTGTCCACCAAAATGTTATCATTTAAATCTCAATTGTTTGTTCATTTTAGTGACACCATATTTTTTTATTGTCACGTAAATATTACAGTACTTTCACGTCCATGATGTAACACATTCTTGCTACTGAATACCTTTTTGCATATGCGACATTCCTCTTTGTTAAACCGTTGTTGCAGACAAATAAAGTATAAGTACATCTAAAAACAAACACCAAGCTGTGTGTTGCAGGGAACAGCTGTGATTGGCACGCCATCATGCAGTGATTTGGGGAGCGCTTGATTTTCTTTTACTTTTTGCTTTCTATTGGTCAAGTACTGACCAATAGAACGTGATCGAGATTAACATGAGACTGATTGTGCAGTCCCCTTAATTTTTTTGAGTGCCTTATAATCCGGTGCATCTTATGGTCTGAAAAATACAGTAGTTGTCACAACGCCGACTTAAAAAGTAGCCAGCATGCTCTTTTCTTACAAAAACATGGCCAGATGCAGTCAAATGACCAAACAAGGAGTGCATGACTGAAAGGGGCTTAAGTCAGATAATACTTTTGATACGGTGCTTTGATACTGTTTAGTTTCGCTTAATGTGCCTTATGGTCTGAAAAATACGGTATATACTTTTTCAGGTAACTGTAATTTTTTTAAACATTTTTCTAAATATATTTATTTTAGACAGCAGACATACTTTACATGATTCATTACACACACACACGCGCACAGAAAGTGAAAGTGTATCGTACCACAACACGGCGAGTTTCTTCTCAGGGATGGTGGCTAAATGGCTGGTGAAGTTCTTCAACCTCATGGCATACCTGCAGTGGAGAGATGCTCATTACTCATTGATTGTCAAAACAGAACTCTGAATTTTACAAAAAGCAGATGCATATATACCCAAGTGCTGCTCTTCACTTAGTGATCAATTCTTCCAGTTTACCAGCAGCCAACTGAAACGCTCTGAATTGTTTGTAGGCAAAACAAAGTTAACTTTCTCTAACGCTGTGGGAAATACAATGCTCCTTTTGGCCAGCCCTCTCTGTTCAGCACAACACTTTATCAGTCAGAATCAAATTCAGCCATCATGAATGAGAGTTCATTGATCCCTGAAGGGAAACTCCGTCCTTTCCTTCTCTCAGGGAGTTCAGAGGTCAGAGTGACTGCAGCTGCTAAAAAGTCTGTGTTTTGCTCAAGGACCCTACAGCAGAATAGATGAGTGCAGGCAAGCAGATCTTGAACCTGAGCACTTGAGTTAAAAGACTCTGTCCCACTACACAATCCTCCTCACAACAAGTCAACCTTCAGACTTAGCAGTCATCAGTTATTCTCAGTTTGCTCTCCTATAGTTACACTCAGCAGCTCTCCAAAGATGAAAACCTGCAGAGATCCTGCAAGGCAACAGATAATACGTCTGTGGATGTTTTTATTTTTTTATTTTTTTATTTATTTTGCCTGTCCCGTTTGGCTCTTTTGCCATCAGAATTGTTGTCTAAAGGCAAAGAAAGATGCCCAACGGATTTACTTTACCAAATTGACCATCCCAGCCTTGCCATAATGGTCCATTTGATTCACCTTTTATTGTTTATTTTATTTTCACTTACTGAACATGGGACAGACTTGACTGGGGGAAAGAAGGGGAGAAAGAAAGAGGGAACGAGAAACAGCTGAGAAGAGGGACGGGGGAGAAGGGCAAAAGACAAAAACCAACAGAATGAGCAGAAAAAGAAAAAAAAAGTAGAAAAAAAGAAAAAAAATGCATATACATGGATGTTTTTATTTAAAAATGTTGGACTTTTTGACAGACAAAAAGGTGACGATACACCACCTTCAATATACTCACAAATCACGTATCCGTGAATCGAGGTACCTCAGAGTAGACTATAGTCCACATTTTTTAGAGTTTATAGTCATAAACTCTAGCTATAGTCAAATCTAAGGTTAGAGTTTATAAGAACATAAAGCTGCTGTGGTATGGTTTACGTTATAATTATATTATATAATTATAGTTACGTTCAGCACCTATCACATCAGTGGCTTTACATCAGGGATGTCAAAATCATTTTGGAGTCTTTGCTGGGCCAATTCTAGCCCCCAAGCCTTATATTTAACATCCCCTCTTTATATAATAATGCTGTGAGGTCAAAGCTGGTGATGACCCTAACCCTACTCTTACTCTATTGTGTCAGAATATGTAACTTTTGTTTCAGAATTGTTCTCCTTACTCTTGGCAATCATGGGACAAAGAAAATAATCACTCTGACTGAAACACGTGAAAAACTAGTAACATTTTTTCTCAAACAGTCCTCGCTTTTCTCCCAATCACAGGGTTTCACCAGGTGCTACACTGTTTTGAATGAAGCTTTTCAAAATAAAATCACTGATCAATTCTGTTCTACTAACCTGTTAAGAAACTAGAGAGCGTTTATTGATGTTTTTCTGTCCATCCCTACCTGATTAGTTCCACAGTCTCAGAGTACATTGTATATGGTGATTTGGCCTCTAGTGGATCTCGCTCCATAGCATTTCCACACTCTATGAAAGACAGAGCGCCGTCTGCGTAGTTCACTGCTTTCCCAAATTTGTCCATCTGCAGACAGAGGACAGGAAAGGAAAGAAAACAGGAAACAAATGTGAAATGAAAGGAGATGTAACAGAGAGAGAGAGGAAGGAAATGTGAATAAGCGGTAGAATAAGCGACGGCTTGACGGCATTGTGGCAGAAGCACGGCAGCCTCTTTGAATAATCTCCCACTAAGATGCAAATCCCTAGATAAATCTGAGGAAACAACTCGTAAACATAAGATAAATACCAAGTTAAATAAATCTCATTTCATTGTTTGTGTGTGTGGGGTGGGTGGGGTGGGTGGGTGGGGGGGTCCGATAATTCTTTTGATATTCTATAATCTTGCAGACATCATCAGTCCTTGAATGCAATGTCCCCTTAGAGACAAATGGTGCAATAAATAACACAAATTATACAGTACGGTCCTTGGTACCAAATAGATTTTCATTCTACTGAGACTTACAGTGCACACATAATTGCAGTCTAGACTGTAGATGTTAACATTGTGTGTTTCTGCTTTCACTGTCTGTCTGCCTCGTGTCGTTAGCACAGAGGGCTGAAGGTGTGCGTCTACCTGAACTGGGTCACGCAACATCTTACCAAAGCATCAGCCTTGTGCTTCAGTCTCTTGGCCTCCTGCATGTAGAAGTCAGCACTGTGGACCCTGCAAACATAATGGTGACAAATAATACAGACCATAAAGAGCATGTGTGCGCTGACATGTTGTTTAACAAAACCTGAAAACAACACCCTGCATCACTGAGACAGATTTGCATAATCACGGACTACAAGTAGCTCGCAGTGAGCTACACACAGTCATCTACTTAGGTATACATACCTCAGGCTTAGTGTAACCTTAGTATAACAACAAGACATGTTGTTTCATGAATAATGCAGAAGCCTTTTGGGACAAATATCCAAGATGATGTATCATCTTTCAATGTTAACACACATCTGGACAAATGATAAGGCTGCTACAGCTTTCCCCATCCACATACACTAACAGGCGAGTGTCTAGCCTTTAGCTGAAGTTGTAGTAAATAAGGCAAGTTTTGTTACAACAGAGGGTCGCACGACCAGAGAACCAAATCAGGGTTGAGCAGCAAAGACTGAAGATATTCTGTAAAGAGCTATGAAGAGCAGTTATGCGTGGCCGATAAAGTTGATTGTGACAGGACACTCGGTCGTAGCCATGACGGTAAACAAAATACACATGAAAAAATGATCAGAAACTTCATGAACTTTTTATACAATCATCACAAACTTACCAGCTGACTCTCCAAGTAAATGTGTAGAAAGAACACAATGTCCCCTCCTGTTCCTGAGTTATGGCATTGATTAGTGATCAGAAAAGCACTCCTGATTTATTGCCAGTATTTTTTTTGTGAGGTCACTATGACCTTAACCCTTGAACATGAAATACTAATAGGTGCAACTGAAGGTTTGGGCCAAAGTGGAAGAAATTCCCTCAATGTGTTTCTGAGACATCAAGGCCGTGAGAACCAGAGAGCAGGACTGCAACTGCTGCCTCTGGCATGCAGGCATGAACTTCCCCAGTAGCACAGCTAAGAACTGCACAGCAGCTAACACGATCTAGCAATAACTTACAGTTAGGCCTATGGAGTTTTATAATGCCTTTCAGTTTAAATACAAAATTGTTATAAACATGTAATAACAGCTGTCGCCTTGTGATCCCATTCTTATCTGTTATAAGTTTCCTGCTGTTCAATAGTCCTGGATCTTTTTGCCATTTCATGATGTGTCAGATGTTTTCAGTTGATGATATATCTGGACTGGAGGTTGGCCAGTTCACTACAATGAAATCATACTGTTGTAATAGATGCAGTTGGGGGTGTTTAAGTTTAAACACTTAATATGTTTCTTTGTTCTCCTTGCTTTGTTGAGAAACCTTTGCAAGAAACCTGATGTCTAGAATCCATGGTCCTCACCAAAGAGTGTGTTTCCTCCTTTAATAATGGTTTGTCTGGCTTTTACTACAGCTGTCTTCAACTGTTGTTTTTGTTTTTCTGGACTGAACTTCGCCTTTCTTTACACTCTAAAACTGGGTTGCTTTGTTGCTGGTATCTGGCAGGTTATTGCTCATTTGTCCTGCTTAGCACCATCTAGTCAGCACTGCCTCATTTGGCAGAATCTGAGCTGAAAATAAAACTTTACCTGCCTGCTTCTGTGTTCTGTCACTTCATCAACACAAACACTCATGGCCCAGTACCATTTGGAGCCATGCTCATGTCTCATACTGCCTCCACAGTCCAATCTATCTTTTCTATTGCTGAGGCTTATGAATGGTTTGCACCTTGTAATGAACCCTCTGTATTTGCTTTTGTGAAGTCTCTGCTTTATTACAGACTTGAATAATATTACTCACTCCTACCTCCTAGGCAGCGTTCTTCATTTGGATGTGTGTTGTTTTCTTTACAATATAAAGAATCCTGTAATCACACAGTCCACTTTTTATATCGTCAAGCTCATGAGTGCGTTATCTTTTTTTATCGGAACCTACAACACAGTGCGTCCTGATTTTAACACTCCTAGTATTCCCGGTATTTCTGAGACGGATTAGTTTTGTTTTTGGCGATAGCCTGTTCCTCATCTGATCATGGAATCAGTGTTAACGGACCTCTCTGCACTGAATCATACTTTTATTAATCTCTCTCTCTCTTCCACAGCATGTCTTTATCCTGTCTTCCTTCTCTCACCCCAACCGGTCACAGCAGATGGCCCCGCCCCTCCCTGAGCCTGGTTCTGCCGGAGGTTTCTTCCTGTTAAAAGGGAGTTTTTCCTTCCCACTGTCGCCAAAGTGCTTGCTCATAGGGGGTCATGTGATTGTTGGGTTTTTCTCTGTATGTATTATTGTAGGATCTACCATACAATATAAAGCACCTTGAGGCGACTGTTGTTGTGATTTGGCATGGGGAAATTCCTCTCTGCATTTAACCCACTCACTCAGTGAAGCAGTCAAAGTCTAAACTTTATGCTCATATTCATCAGAAACTATAATTTGGATATTTTTTGTAAAACAGCTAAAATGACACAAAATATGTTAAAAAATAAAAAAATATGTATCCAACTGTATAAACAATCAAATGTTTGTAAGTGCACATCGTGGTGTGTGCTTTTACTTACGTGTCACTGAATGAGAGTTTGGGCCTGCGGGGTTCTGCGGGGTCCATCAGGGGTTCCGACCAAACCTCCGAGTCTGAATGACCGTTGGTATGGTAACCGTCTCCACAGGGCTTCTCGCCATGGGAATCCATTTCCTGTAGTAGAGAGGTTTTTGAAGTATATGCTTCCAACAGTCTTAATTAAGTTTATATTGTGTGGCTTTCAGTGACCACCTACTTAAACTTGAGCACTGGCATCTGATTCACACTGACAGATTTAAACTTTGCTATTTACCGATAGCAGCTGTATTGAGCAGGAATGAGATGTGGTCACCCTTTCCTACAGTCTTCCTTAGATATAGCATCATCATAATCTACTATGACACATCGGTGTTCATCATTAAAAGCTGACCACCAGGTCTGTGTCCACAGGACTGTATATATATATATATATATATAAGCACTTACACTGCCATTTCTCACATGCGCTGATGTTTTTCCTTCACCTCTCCGGTGTCTGTGTGAGGAAGAGGAGGTGGAAGCAGCGGAGGCGGCGCAGGGCAGCATCCCGGCGGCGCTGGCCTCCTGGCTGAGAGAGGAGCTGCTGTCGCAGGGCCGTTTGCGAGGCGGATCATCGGACAGAGGGGACAGGAGCGGCGGGAGCAGCTTCTCATCGTGCCGTCGGGACTGCTTCCTGTTCAGAGAGCTACTGAACACGCACGCACACACACATACGCACATACACGCACACACACAGAGACAGAAAAGAAGTGAGATTATTTGTTTACTTATGCAGAGGCACTGAATGCTATGTTTTTACTTTGTTCTGTGTTGTATCTGTGCTATACGTGAGTTACTCATGGTATGCGAGTCTCAGTGTAGCTCGTCCTGGCACTGTTAATTTTGCTCCAAAGACACAGACCAAGTGCAAGTGTCCTGAAGCCCTCATGTGGGGCTTTTTGCTACCTTTAAAAATTAAGTGAGTGATACTGAAACGAATCCCACGATGACTGAGGACTCCTCTTGTATCTACATTCAGTTTATTACTGGGTTCAGGACTATTAGTGGCAAAAAAACCACAAGACAGAATTTAGGGACTAATGAATGAATTTACCTTATTTTTAAATCTGTGAACGATATTTTTTTCCCCTGTAAAATTATTGGAATTCTGCCTTCCCCCGTAGCACCTCGACAATTATTCCCTCAGCCGCCTTATTGTAGCTCCTGTGACTCATATTGTTTGCAGCACAACAGATAATATTTTTATGTTTTTCCTCTCCCTGGAAACTCTGGGGGTTTGATGCGGTGAGGAAGTTGCTGAGCTCGCAGAACAAGGCCCCAGGCACCGACATTAGCAATAATAGACAAAATCATGGAGACAAAGACTAATTAGCTGCTGTGGAGTGTGTGCATGCGGAGCGTGAGTGTGTGCTTTTGTGTCTGCGCACGGCATAATTGATGTGTCTGCGGCTGTTTGTGTGCATGCATATGCTAATTTGCGTGTAGTGGCGTGTGTCTGTCTTTAAGTGGACGCTGATGTGTGTGCAGGGAAGTAGGTGAGAGCACTCAGACTTCTTTTAAAGGCATAATAAGTTAACAAATTGAGAGGCTCTTAGAATAAAATGACCACAGTATATCTGCCAAATCATTTCCTGTAATGCATTTGCAGTGACTCAGTGAGAAGATTTATATTCCAACTGAAATGAGATTTCTCCTTTTTTTGGTACACTACAGCATTCATATCAGTCTTTAAATCACTTGTCGTGTGTTCGGCTTTGTCATACGAATTAAGAACCAAACAGCAGAATGCCACTTATGAGATTTTTTCCGGTTTTACTTTTTCCAGTGACCCTGCCGGTTTGTTGGGTCGACACAGACGGGAGCCGTCTCTTCTACACAGAGCGAGACATGAGGGAGTAGGAGCCCAGCATTAAACACCTATGTCAGCACCGTATCAAAAGTATTATCTGACTTAAGCCCCTTTCAGTCATGCACTCCTTGTTTGGTCATTTGACTGCATCTGGCCAGGTTTTTGTAAGAAAAGAGCACGCTGGCTACTTTTTAAGTCGGCGTTGTGACAACTCCCATATTTTTCATACATAAGGCACACGGGATTATAAGGCGCATTAAGTGAAATAAAACAGTCAGATAAGTCAAACTTTACTCAACTCATTCTTTTGCTTCCTCCACTTCTGTACCATTGATTCATTAATGTTGAATTCTCTCACAGCTGCTCTATTCCTGTGTTGTTGCAGTATATTAATGACTAACCTTCTATTGTGAATGGATGATCTCAGTTGTTCTCCTGACTGAAGTTTGGTCCGTTTACAGCATCCTACCATGCGACTGCATTTGTCCCTAACCATCGGGAACCCACACGTTAACTTTTATCGAGTGGAAAAAAAATTTGCATTATGCTAACATAGCTGTGTCGCTAGCCACCACGCAGCACATCATTATATATCAGCTAGCCCAACTTCCGTAACCCTACAAACATCACTGCTGTTTAGTTTTCTGTCTTCGTTTATTTTAATCTCTGTGTGCAGCGCTTTGTGACTACCTGTCTATGAAAAGCGCTTAATAAATAAACTTTACTTACTTTACTTACTTCATTTATGTTGGAAGTGATAGCAGAGCTGTACTTTTGAATTCTTTCAGAAATCTCTCAGTCAGAACATGCTACAGTATATCATGTTTAGGTGGAAGCTAGCGAGCTAACTTCCTGCTAACTTCTAACTCGGTTAAATGTAATAAATTCTGTTTTCATGGATGCCTGGATGTTAAACTTAATTGTTACACCTGGTAAAGCAGCAACGCTCATCATTTTATTAAAGATGAAAGAACTTAGACAGTTTTTAACTCTCAGTGATGCCGCAGTGTTTGTTTGACTTTGGGACCTGAACTAGACAGAGTTTAGGACCCAGATTACTCCACGAGGCTCCTGACTACGGCAGCCGTAATGCTCCAACAATCCATCAAGTGGTGCGACTTCGTAGCGTACCAAAGTCATACTAAAACATTTTTTAAAGAGTTTTGAGCGCCGTGTAGCACATCAAATCGGTTCGAGGTCAGTGAGCACAACCAGAATTCATACATAAGGCGCACTGGATTATAAGGTGCACTGTCGATTTTTGAGAAAATTAAAGGATTTTAAATGTACCTTATAGTGCAGAAAATACAGTATGTATTACTTTCAGTATGACATGCTGTTACACCAAGGGGCGATTTCTGGAACTGAAAAATGAAGCCGATACAGAACTAGCAAAAGCTGCAGTTCCTGTAGGTGCCAATCCCACTTTTCTTTAGTTGTGACAAGAACTTCTTCAAAATCACTAAACATCTTTTGTATATTCTGAGATTTTACTTCGTTCTGTAATTCTACATCTAAAACAGACTGAAATATTTACAGAAAGTACAAGTTGACTGTAGAGCACCTAGAACAATGCAGATAAAAGTCTGTGACGGGTCAGATTACAGATGAAATGTTCACAGAAGGTAAATTCATCTGGTTGCTTCCAGCTGTTTCCAGAAGTCTTCTCTCAAAGCTTCTGACACACTAACAACAGCATAAAGTGACAAAAACACTTCATGAGTAACTTAAGATAAATTACCCATAAAACTGAGACGGGATCAGTCAGGATCAAACAGAAAATGATGTTGATTAAAAGTTTTACTGAAGTTTGTGCGGGTGCATCCACAAAAATTCAGATCGGAGCCTCACTAATAATCCAAGAGGCTATTAAAATACATTCCTCATGGTAAGAAACGTTTTTTTCCTAAACATGGCTAAACCACCACGGTAACTTATGCTGAACACATAACCTGGCTGGGAGTCAGGAATTGGTTGTTTAAAATTGACTGTGAGCGCCGTGTTTTCACTGAGCCTATTATTGAAAGTTTTAAGTGCAATATAGATTTTCTGCTGAGGGAATAGGTTTTATATGTCCAAGTTGTTAAGCCCTACCTGACTAAAACCACTGAATGAAGTGTGTGTCACAATGACACAAGGATGTACATGCATTAATACAGAAAATGTTTAAATGTTATACTTGATTCTAATCTGCTGCTAATCCTCTTTCACACTGATGGAACTGCAGCTACTGGAACACAGAACACACACCAAGAATATCAGTTCAATCAAAAAATTAATTTCACTTTGATCTGCCAACAAACTAAAGTAATTTCAAGGCGTCCTTTATTAGGTTCTGGGATGTTAACCTTTAATGTTTAAATGTATTCAGTTTAAAGTTTCAGAGCTCTAATGTGCAGCTGTCAGAAATAAAGCAGCACTGGGAGCAACTCAGCCATAAAATAATTAACTGGAATTAAAAAATGTATTTTACCACCCTGTACGCTAAATCACCAGATTAACGATTTTCTGCAGCATTAATTTCTTGTCTTATTTGCAACTGTTTGCAATTTTTTCTGTTATATTTTTAGATTCTTTACAGATTTTTAATCACCTTTTTATCTTTAAGAGCATCTGATATGTGTCTAATTGCAGTAGGGGGCCTTTATAGGGATCATTTTTTGCAGAAGTTACACGACAGGTGCGGCATGATGCAGGAAGCCCGGTTTAAGAGAAAGCTACGGTGGCCCTGAGAGGCCAAACGGACTGCAACTTCAGAAAACACTTGCAAAAAGAAAAATGCTGCAAAAAGAAAAACACTTGCAAAGAGAAAAATGCTGCAAAAGCACACACAACACAACGGAAATGTTTCTGGGGAGACAATAACCGGATGGACCAGTTGCACGAACCAAAACATACTAACAAGTGCACTGGGACTGGGACACACTTCAAAGAAGTGGAAGCGGAGCGGCCAAAGAGTAAACTTTCAAAAGTAAGTACTGAATATTATGTCACTTATTTATGTGCAAATGTTTAATAATGAATAACATTAAAACATTACTGTTGGCCACATGTCGGCAAAGTTATGTGACATTAGCGATGTTTGTACTTTCAGCATTTACTTTGTTTTAGCCTTTACTTTAAAATATATGCCGTTCGATAATAATAACACAAACACTAAATCCTCCTTCTCTTGTGCTGTTGTGTAGCAGTGTATACACCTGAGACTGTCACCTGTCTGTCCTGCACTCTCTCTCTGTTTCTTTCTCTCTGATTGTGGAATAAAAGTATGAACATGTATTTATAAGTCACACTTGTGTTTGAATCCTGCAGCTTATCACACATTTGATTTCCATGCGTGACAACTACAAGTGTCCAGAGTGAGGACAGACTGAGGGACCCACTGCTGCACATCATCTGTGAGGCTTTGCAGCCCTGATGATCCACCAGGACAAACTCAGCAGTGTGTGAGGAAGAGGAGGAGGAAGAGCCAGCAGCAGCTGACAGATGGAGAGAATAGACAGACTGTTCCCTGTTTGCGAAGGACTGCTAGAAAAGTTTAGAATAACTAATTGTCTGTCCTGAATCAGTCTTATTAGGTAATGTTCAAATCATTTTATCAGTGTGGGAGAAAGTACTCAGGGCCTTCAAGTTACACACTATGAAAGGCAGCAACAAGTGTAATATTCAGAAACCTAAAGTATGTATCAGCAGCAGAATGGAGCTAAAAAGAAATGTTAAGGATAAGGATGTTATGTGTTTGTAGACTTTCTGCCCAGTTTGACCCATTTAGCAGAAGTCAGCCTGTTTAAGGCTCTGATATCTATTCTGTGTGACTTAAAGCAGTTATGACATGGTCTGATTTTCTCACCCAATAAAGGAATATTTCATATATCAGTCTACTCTTCATTCTATCAGAAACAGTTATCACAGCTCGTACATTTTCTTTTTACACATATGAGCCAAATTTAGTAATGCCAACATATTAAAAGAACAATATTTGTCTCTTATATATGATACATCTATATATGCACTCTCAAAGATACTTGTCTTTAAGTGAAGATTTAAGGTGATAGGAAATATAAATAAATGCAACTTGAATCTTTACTGAAGCTCATTGAATGACACAGAGTTCATGTTCACTGCTGTAATAACTAATAATGATTAATATAATAACTATAATATTGGCCATATTATATTCACATTACCAAAGTGAGATGACTTTAGTCTCATGAACAACATTAGCTAATTGTTATTTACTAGTTAATCTTAAATGACTGTTCAGTACAGAAATGAAGCCCAACAATCATGTTTTACAGTCCTGTGGTCTCAGCCTCAGATACTTATCAAATCACACAAAGCTCATGTAGAAACAAATGTACAAAATATGTTCTCCTTCATTTCTGTCAAACAAAGCTGTATGAAACGTTTCCAGCTGCTAGTATCATGGTTGCTAGGCAACCTGGGCAGCGTGACGGAGGCTAGACCGTCCCATCTCACAAGCCTACAAGCCTCGCACTTCCAGCCTCAGCGGTCTTTGAGTACACGGCCCTTGAGGACCGTTAAGGCTGCGTACTTTAAGGCTGCAGACCCTGAATTGGGAAACAGTCCCTGAATTGGGATACAGCCATACATACATGTTTTGGTTCGTGCAACTGGTCCGTCCAGTTATTGTCTCCCCAGAAACATTTCCGTTGTGTTGTGTGGGTGCTTTTGCAGCGTTTTTCTTTTTGCAGCGTTATTCTTTTTGCAAGTGTTTTTCTTTTTGCAGCATTTTTCTTTTTGCAGCATTTTTCCTTTTGGAAGTGTTTTCTGACGTTGCAGTCCGTTTGGCCTCTCAGGGCCACCGTAGAAAGCTGATAACCAGCACTGCGATAGCTGTAAAGTCTTACTTGGGTCAAACCGGCCAACCCAAAGAAAACCTGGTTCTGTTAAACTTTATTTCACTGAACTTAGGATTCCCCTAAGAGCTCAGCCTGCCCTACTCAGCACCAGAAGGCTGTTCTGACCCAGTGTTTGTGTTGTTGTTTCTCTTGCAGTAAAAATAATGTATTATATGGACCACAACTGGGCCAATGTGGATCCAGTGACTTGCTGACCAAGACTAAATGTGATTTCTGTGCTGTTCTGGGGTCAAATCTCAGTCACATGTGGTCATCGCTGATTATCTGCTATCAAAATATGACCCAGCTGATTAAAACAGGTGGGATGATAACTGTCAAAAGTCACAGGAAACTGCCAACTGGATCTGAGGCAGATGATCACATCAGCCAATTCAGAGTTTCCGTAAAAAGCCTCCCAGATGATAAACGGGATGTGACAACTACGCCAGTGTCACAGGTTCAACTCCAGGTCACTCCCTCTTTTCTCTGCCACCTCTCGCTGCCGTGCATGCTTCGATAAAGCCGAGATGCTATAAAAATATTTCCTCTGTAGCTGTCACGTTGAGGCTTATTTATAGCGACAGCCCGCTTAGGCTGTTTTTAAATAATTCACACTGAAAGCCGAGATTCATGGTTTGTCATTCCCGCGTCACCGTGTGAATTGAACTCGCCTGTCTAGTGGCTCCGTCGCGACATTCAAATTTTTAATCCTTCCTAAAAATACCCAGTCTCTAGTAAAGTTGCCTGATTACCTCTACTAGTGTCTATGACAGTCACATGAGGATGAGGAGCATAGCAGGGATTCAGGGAAGGATGAATCAGTGGAGGGAAAGCTGAGCCTTTTCTGGAATTTCTTAACTCATTTTAATAGAGTATCTAAAATTTTCATTCACAGGTTTCTTGGGATGATTGAGACATAATTTACTAGTGAAACGAGGCTTCATTGACTGTTTTTCATCATACAGTACGGTTCTTTATTTTTTTCCTCACCTGCTCTGGAAAGGGTATTTGCAATGACCTGAACTTTTGGTTTCAGACACTTTTTACCCCTGTTGGCTCTGTATGATGTCACTATGAGCTGATATCCATGTTGCAAGTCAAGGTCAATGAAGTTATCATATATGGTTCCACATTAATGAGTTAGATTTCTCACTGGATCACCATATAGTGTCATATGGAGTTGGGGCAACAATTAATATAAAACTGACTACCGTTGTTCTACATTTATGATAGAGTATTGTTTTTTTCATCGCTGCTCACTAGACATATCTGGTGCATGTCTAAAACTGGAGTTACCATCACTTGCACTAGTTTTACATGAGCAGGGTATATGAATAAATATTCATATTATGGCCCCAATTTTTAGAAACCAAAGACAAACAACACCTGTTTCAACATTTAGAACAACTCTTGATATATATGATGTCTGGGTTTTATCGGCCTGCCACAGCTAGTTTTGATGTTACAATAAGTTTGGCAGTTTGGGTGAAAAACCTGATTTCCCTGAAAAAAACGCTGATGTTGGAAATGCTCCAAGCCATTACTGATTGGTCAAATGCAATAGCATCACTATCTGTCACATGACCTGATTGGCTGGGAGAATTAAGTCCATTTAAGGAACCAAATATAGTTCTTTAAAGCACTTTGTGATCTTGCACCAGTCTGTTTGTCTGGAATACCTCTAATCTATGACAAAGGAGAGCACCTCGTGCCCTCCGGCAGGACTCTTATGTGTTTCATTTTTCATTTTTTAAGTGCAGAAAAAAGTTTTTTTGGTGGCCAGGTTTTACTACATTGACTGAGGACGTGTGAACAGCTCTAACCGATGGTAGATCTGCCTTTAAAAAAGTGATCGGACTCCTAATAGATCAGATTTGCATGATTCACAGATGACTTTTGTTCAGCCTCTCGGTTCATCCACCACCTTCTTTTGGTTGGCTGTCGTTTGTAAACAGAAGCACTGAACAGTAGGTGGGCGGGCCAGAGATAACCACATCATAACCAGGTGTAAGTAAAGTCCAGTAGAACTAGAGGAACAGAGGGTTCAGAGCTACTCGCACATACGTTAATCTCATCACTCGACACTTTGGCCATGTTTACGCTGGCATCCACCATTGTACCAATGTATGTATGACAGAAAATAAGAAGCAGCACAATAGGATGACACTTTGCACAACATGTCTTCAGGCTGTGCTGCATTCTGATCTATCGATGCTACTGTTTGTGGACTGGTATCAGCACAATTAGTGAAAAACCCCTTGGACATCTGGCTCGTTGATAATGAGGGAGTGATGCCAAAACTTGATCTATGTAGTGTTTCGGGCTTTCATTACAGTACAATCTCTTCCTCATCCCGCTGAGTCCTTTCCCAGAGCTAATCTGCCGGGTGGCTCGTGTGCACTGTTAATGCTTACTCTGCCGTGCTGCTCTTATGGTTGTGTATTGGAGAGATGCAGGGTGGGAGGAGCAGACAGTCTTTGTCCAATCGCAGCTTCTTATTGCAGTTCACTGATGAGTCTCCGTGGTCCGACTAGGAACAGAGAAATCAGAATTCACAGATGTGAAGGAGTGAAGTAAACAGCCAGCAGAACAGTTAAGGCGGTATATGTGAACAAACGCTGCTTCACACCTTGTGTTTCCTCTTGCTCTTGCTTGCGTGTTTCTCGGGTGGAACCACCATGTTTGCAGCCGCCTGCCTTCTGTGTTTGCCTCCGTTCTCTGCTCTCTCCGTCCTCCCAGCCAGCCTGGGATTAGTCTGCTCTTGCACGGGGTTGTTGTCCGGGACCCCCAGACCCTGGCACATCTTTTCTCTGTCCCTCACTGCCGTCCTCTCTCTCTCCCCGAGTCCGAATCTTTCCCTGTCCTCTCTGTCTATCGGCCTCTCTCTCTCTGTTAATCGCTCTCTCTCACCTTGCCTCTCTCTGTCCTGCACTAATCGCTCATTTTCTTCCTCCTGTCTCTCCCCTTTCATCAGCTTCTGTCTCTCTCTGAGCCCCGGCCACTCTCTGTCTTCCTGCTTCGGTCTCTCCCTCTCTGCCACACCTATCCTCTCCCTCTCCCCTTGTCTCTCTCTGTCTCTCCCCTCACTCCCATCCCTTTCTGAAATTCCCACCCTTGATCTTTCCCCCGCGGCCTGGCCGGGCACCCTGCTGAGCAGACTCAGGTCAATTTTTACCCATAAACTCTGGATCTCATGGTATTCCCTCAAGGGTGAGAGAGGCACCTCGTGTCCCAGATTGGAAGGCGGTGACATGGGCTCCAGGTCTTTGCTTTGCCCTCCTAACCCTCCAGGATCGGGAACAGAGGTGCCAAATGAACCACTTATGTTGCTAATGCTCAGGGAGTTACAGCTACTACTGCTGCCGTTACTACTGCTGCCGATGCTACCGTTACTACTGCTGCTGCTACCGTTAGTGGGCACGTTGCTACCATCTTTGACTCGAAGTCCCTTCCCTCCAAATGTTCCCAGACTCCCCACACCGCCAGCAGAGCCAAGGCATGGGAGAAGAGGCGCGTGCATGTGTGCGTTGGACAGAGTCTGCGTGTTAATTGCAGAGCGTGTCGTCTGTGGCGGCAAAGCTGGGATTTTGATGGCTTCCTCCGTATCCGACTGGCATTCTGACGAAGAGGAGGAGGAATCTGTTTCGATGAATTCTCTGGACTTGGGTGTGATCCTGGTGCTGGGACCTCTGTGTTTCCGCTTGTCCTGATGAAAATATATGTAAATGTATGAAAAGGAGCAACAAAATACAAGATACAAGTCAAGAAAAAACGGCACATATAACACACACAAAGGAAGCTTCTGATCTTTAGCCATCTCTTATACCCCGTCCACTAATGCACTTTTAAACCCCGACGAAGAAAAAAACCTGGTGTAGACAAACGTTATAATCAAAAGCAAAGCACATACAGCACATTACTGAATGTGATAATATCATGCAAATTAGGCAGCACGAGTTGCCAGCTTGTTCCACTAATCTGTGAAGCAAAAAGAAACATGTTTGACTGTCTCGTTTTGAATGTCACTGATATTCGCTGCACACAAGTCACACAGTTGAGCGCAGGCGGTCTGTTTGTCACATGCAAATTAAAAGATGCGTCTCACATTTCTTAGTTGAGTTCTTTCTAAGATGCGAGGGCACAGTTTCATAAACAAGTGCATCTTTATTATATAAATTTTTCCAGTTTTCTCTTTAAAGATCCCGTTTCGATGCACTTCTGGATTGCTTCTGGTAAAGCAGGAATTTTTCCTGAGCTTCCTGGGAGCCGTGTCCTGACCACCTTCACTTAGCGGTCCTCAGACTTGACCAGAGAGAAAACTTCTCAATGTCCCAAATTTCACACGGAATAATGTGTTTGATGAGCACAGTTCTCAGCCAAAGAGATTTGATAGGAGCACGTCGTCGTTCTCTTCATCTTTGTGCACAGTTAATTTGTCTTCCAGGGTGAGGCGCAGAACTTTCTTTTTTCTTTATTTTAGCTGTGCAAACACAATATTCACTTCCTACCACACTACTTACATGATTTGGCACCCTGCGACTTTTTTCACTTCCCCCAAAATGAAAAATCAGATTGAAGCATCACCATTTTGACATAGTGAAGGAGCTCCAACACTCATTGTGGAGGCATTACCAGCAAGGGACAGAACGGCTCTTCCGGGGAGCGATGCATATAAAGTGGTCTGGAAGATGAACATCATGAAGCTTTAGGTTTCTAGAGTCGTGACTCACATAGCAGATCATTGAGTGTCCACTAAAGAAATATCCTCTTTGATGGTAACAGTGATATTCAGTCTTGATAGCATTATCATTAATTCTTTTAAGTTTTTAAAATATGTGGCTTCATATTCAAGTGCATCTAAAATCCATGAAGAATAGGAAGAAATTGTTCGGAAAAGCTTTACTGTCTTACTGTTTTTCTCACAGACTGTATATAAAAGATGGACATAGCCTCCATAGTAGCAGAATCCAGATGTGAAACTTAAACTGAGTGTTTGTGCTGTTGTCATGTTAGTGTTTGAAACCTCAGAAAACGAACACGCAGGTTTAACCAGTGCAGGTGTAACCAGTGCAGGTGTAAGTGCTAGCTTATAGCCTAGCACCGTGGCTCCCAAAGTTGGGGCCATTGCAGGGGGGCACGGTATGAATAAAAAATAGAACGCTTGAACACTGCTAGCATAATGGACAGGTTTTCAACGGGGCTGCCACACAAACGCAAAGCAGAAGATGAAGCATCGCCACATGTGCTTCCAAACCAACTTCATTCCAAGCCAAAGACTTGAACATATGATGAAGGATATCTTGCCTTTGGCTTCACCTGCACAACGGTGGTGCCAAGGTAGGTCTCCCCCGGCAGAATTAGTTTCTGCTGCTTCGGGAGCACACGCTGTCCAAATCTAGCTCATTTTCTTTCATGTAGTGAAGCTGCATTAGTACATCAGCTACATAGTCTGCTATTATTAATTTAATGGTGATAATTTACAAAACAAACATGTTGTATTTAGCATGACCTGACACTAGCATGGACGTGGATGCTTCCTTACTGTTGCCTGTAGACTCTGTTTATCTACTAGCAGGAGCATCATTGTAATTTCAGTTTGGTTAAATGGATTTTAGTTACATGATGCTGATGTTACCTGAATAAACATTAGTATTAGTAGATATTAGACTTAGTATTTTCTCCTTTCTTTAATCCTTGGAATCATACAGTACACGATGACACAATAATGTGAAATTTTGATTTAAATTGGGGAAATCCAGAAATCATCAAAGTCATTAGCTTACACTCTGTAAGCAGTCTACATTTGAAATGGAAATAATGTGAAAGGACAGAATAACTTCCAATTAAATTTTAATAGTTTTTCTCCTGTTTTCTTACCTAAATATGAGTGTGTAATATTCTGTTTTACAGATGGATAAAGAAAAGCAGTGACTGGTTAACCTGGCTCCTTTACTCTGTCTGTGGATCTCAGCCTCAAGCTTAGTTTATATCTCCTACAGACCAAACTCTTTGCAAACAGGTCACATCTACACAGTTTATGCCTGAAGCTGCACTGCAGGGCACAGTCGTTTTAACCAAATTTTACTTAAACAGGTTAAAATGGTTAATTTGTTGTGGGCTGTCTTCTGTTGTAGTTAGTATTTACAGCAGCAGACATGCCGAACTATTCCATGTTTTTGGATAACAAAGGTGAAGGATATGGGCTTTGGCCTTATTGTAGGTTTGATTAGTGTTTTTGTTCTTTAGATTATTTTTTAACAATAGGAAAATAAATATATACGAGCGAAAACTGGCTTCTAGCTGTTTGTGTATCATCAGTTTAACTTTCTGACAAGCCTTCTTTCTTCTTCTGTAAATAAGGTGTGTCAGCTGGCAGACGCAGCCACAATCCACTCAGTTTATTTTCATTTTTAGTGCTGTGTAGCTACACCTGCATCGCTGCCCTTGTCTTGTTCCCAATCAAAATTGACCCTGTGATGTTGAATGCTTAATTTTAGACATGTACTGATCAATTATCCTCAACTGAAACAAAGGCGAGCGAGGAGCAGCGATGTGTGTGCAACAGCAACACGAGAAAGCAACTACAGAGGCAGATGCAGAGAAGAAAACACCACTAATGTTCCCAGTCGTCAGTATAAACCCACTCGCTTGGCAGACGCAGCCCTCTGGAATCTTTCCAATGCGTGTTGCCATCTGCAAAATCCATTCTCAGTAAATGCCATGTAGTGTTTTGCTGAAATAGAAAAAAGGGGGAAACTGTCCCTTGCACAGAGCTTATTTGCACTGCCGGCAAAAGCTTTTCCTTTCTTGAACAAAACTCCTCTGGCCTGTTTTCTCCATAGTTCACCTCTCCTCACTGTTGACATTAGCCGTCTTGCCAGCTGCTCTGCGCAACTAAAACAGGCAGAAGATCAAATGTTGCAACAGCACTTACGGCACCGATTGCACACGTTAGCGTTCATCTCCATTCTCAGGTAATTTAAGAAAGGTTATATCTCTTTAGTAAAACAAGGACATTTTCACCTGCGTACACTTGACAGGAGAGGCACATCTGTATGTATACCATGAAATATAACGACAGCCCGTTGGATTTAATTATATAGCATCGTTAGCTTTGATCTGTGTGCGTACAAGAGAGCCAAAATCTCAGACTTCAGACTGAAATGCTCACGTGTAGATTTTTATTAAACTTTTGGATCCGTTAGATGTGAATGAGACAGTATAACCCAAATATAATCATTTCAGGCACACAGCTGTGGCTGTGAGCACAGCAGCATCACACAACTGCTGTGGAAGTGTAACAGTAACCAGTATTAGGGCCCCATTAAAAAAGAAATATTATTGCTCATTTTGAGAATAAAGTTGACTTCGTTCTTTAAATAATATTTCAAGTTTAATCTCGAAATTTCGACCTTATTCTCAAAATGAACAGTAATATAAATTTTTCATTATGCTTCGTCATATTAATTCACCTGTAAATAAATGACATTGAAAACTTTGAACTTACAAGGTAAAATATTTACATGTAGCTACACTGGGACAAGTCGGTAAGAGTCAGCTTTCTCAGGAAACAAAGAAAGAATTATACTGTAAGTAAATGTATGTAGTGTTTAGGTCATTTTAAGGAATTGTGTAAGGAAGTTTAATTAGTGGAGGACTGATTTTAGAGCATCACTTCATGTGTTTTACAGCAAAGATGACACAAATGATACTGTAAGTAGAGAAAATCAAAACTGGCCGGCATGTGTGACCTTGTAATGGAGGAACCAAGTCTAACTTAATTTATCGACTTTTATTTATAATCAAAAACAATATTGAACACAACAGAATTAGCAACAAATCAAATAAAGATATAAAGATGCAAAAAAATAAAGACCTAAAAATGTAAGCTTCCACAGTACGACCGCTGTCCCAAAAAATTATTTACGATGTAAGATGTTCGTTTTTCCAAATATGACCACTGCACACTGCTTAAACTTACATTATATATATTTTTGTGTTGCTTTATTTCTATAAAATATATGAAGTTATGCAATTCTTAAAATTACTTACGCATTACTTAAAATTACCTTCAGAAAACTTAAATTTACTTACAATATAATTCCATCCTATTCTAGTGTATCTACCTTTAAGTGTTTATAGGTAAATATAATGATCTAATTTCAGGTAAAATACATTGAAACTCCATTTAATTACAGGGGAGCCGTTAGTCGTGGACGCCATTATTAAGTGTTACCATGAAAAGTTGTGTATATGTGGGGCAACCAATCAGAAAACAGCAAGGCTGTAAAGGGCTTGCTTCAGACAGTTGGTAAATTGAGAGGATTCACTAACGTCTGGCCTAAAAGAAACGATGGTTATTCTGAAATAAGAATATTAGGTCCCCTTTCAGTTCATGCTCAGTACTGTGGGTAAATCCTTGCAGTGGGATATGTGGAAAAGTATTCGAACTTTTATGTTGTTTCCCTGAAGTCGATGAAAACAAAAGAGAACATGATGATAATTAGGCATTAAGTAATTAGTTGTTACATTAATTCTAAGTACTGTGTGAGCGAATTAAAGTTTGGAGCTCTGAGGGGCTGTCGGGGCGCCTGTAGCTCCGGCTGCTGACGCAGAGGTGGCAGTTGTCAGAGTCGGGCACGTCATGCTGCCGGGTCACTTCTTCAAGTCTTCTCTGTGGGCTGTAACAGCTGAGCTGCTGTTTGCTGGTTACTGCAGTTTTCCTCAGTGTAATCTTGTTGTAACATCGCTGACAGCTGCTAACGTGTTAGTTGCTAATTTGTCAGCAGATGAGTTTTACGAGAACAATTTCCACAACCTGACAGCAGAACAACGGAGGGGAAATTTGTTCTCAAAGCAAAACAAGTAATGACGAAAGACAGCAGCATCACAGAGATCAGCCAACATGAAAACATCTGAAAAGGAAATCATCAGCGTTATTTGTTTACACGTTTTCTAGGGCTTCTTATTCACTCACTGTTCAGCCTCACTGCAGCGTTAAAGTTACATTAGGTCAACATTTTCATGATTTCCTTTTAGCATTTTGAATGTTTGTTGCTGTTTAACCATTTAAATCCTCCTGTTCTTCCACTTGAGTTAAAAAGACTCCGTTACAATGTAACACTACCACCAACGTCATTAGGTACCCCCTGCTAGTACCGGGTTGGACGCCCCTTTTGCCCTAATTCTTTAAGGAATCACACAGTTGCTGTAGATCTACAGTGAGCTCACTGTCATGAAGAAAGCGGTTTGAGCTTTTGTGATATTGAACATTCTCCTGCTGCATGCAGTCATCAGCAGATGGGTGCACTGTGGTCATAAAGAGATGCTCAGGGAGGCTAACCTGTCGCTGGCGTCACACAGATGTTTTTCTAAAACCCTTTGCTAAACTGAAAGAATTCCCACGCTTCCTGAAAGCAGCGTCTCTGTGCTTTTCAGTGATAATAGGGTCGCTGCAGCCCTGCTAAGGTTGCAGCTGTTGGTACCCAATGTGTGCCAAGAAAATATCCTCCACACCACTGCATCACCAGCAGCCTGAACTGTTGACAAGACATCCTGACCATCCACCATCTATCTGAGTGAGTCTGTGCAAATGATATCCTTAGTTTGCTGTTTTTAGCTGAAGGAAATGGCATCATGTGTGGTCTTCTGCTGCTGCGAGGTTTGCAGTGTTGTGCTGCGGTGTCAGGGATGCTCTTCTACATTCATATGTTGTAACGAGCAGTTATTTGAGTTACTGTTGTCCTCGATATTTTCTAAATCCTTTTTGAGACCATTCTCTGAAATCCCAGTAGATCAGCAGAAACACTCAGCCGAGCAGCCCATCTGGCACCAACAACCATGCATTTCAAAGTCACTTTAATCACCTTTCTTCTCCAATTTGATGCTCACTTTGATCATGTATAGAGCATGTATGCCTAATTTCACTGAGTTGCTGCCCAGTGAGCAGTTCAACAGATGTACCTAACAAAGTGTTCATCTTGTGGTGTTTTAATATAAATATGTAGCATTACGTGTATGTATTTAACAAAAACTGATTTCCCTTTTCCATTAATGAGCATACAATAGCTGTATATATTCATATATATTCACACACAGCTGAGACTGGATTACAAACAGGAACCTTTCAGGGAAGGAACCACGAGTCAGTACATTTGCTGTAGAGTTGCATAAAGCGATAAGTATAGGGTACAGTCTGATACATCTGTACTTGGTGTTCAGCCCTATTCCAAATGTCTGCAACCTTCCTGCAGTACACACACACACACACACACATCTAAAACTAACCTGGTTTACACTGACAGCAGGTGCTGGCAGTGGGGTTTGCTGTAGCGCTGCTGGTGGAGTGGCTGTGTTAGTGTTTGAGTTGGTAGCACTGCGAGGTTCTTTCCTTGGGGCTGTTTTCCCACCGGGAGGTTTACTACGCGGCCTCGGGGGGTTCTGATGCTCCAGGGAGGGGGGAGGCAACAGGTCCTTCTCCCTCGCTGCGGGGCTAATGGGAGAAACAATAAGAGGAAGGCTCACTACTGGAACTAGATTCACCCTTGAGCAAGGCAGTGAAGCCCAAGCTACATGATAAACAATAGAAGGTAATGCTTGCCATTGCTTGGTCTTGTGACAGCATGAAATAATTGAAAACAGCATGCATTCAGTCAAACTTGGACGTAGGAAGCTTAAAATGGAACGAAGAAAAGGAAGAGGTGATTGAGGGAGAGGAAAATGAAAAACAGGAAAAACAATCAATGTTATTTTTTTTCCTAATTAGGCCAACGTCAAGCTGCGCACAGAGTCTGACATGGCTTCTACTCAGTCTCAGCACTGTTCAGCTCAGAGGGAGTGACAGTCTTCAGTGGCCATGTGCAGACAGCTCAGTGATCCACAGGAACCTCTGTTAGCTCTAAGCTGCAGTGTGAAGCAGGTGGTAAAGTTCCTAACAGTAATTGTAATAGTTTAGTCAATAGCAAGCACTGTATCAGTTATAGAGCCAGTTACACATCAGAATATAGGCTGCTGTGGATTTTTATCTCAAACTGTCAGGCTTATGTTGAAATGGTGAGAGTGCACCAGTGTCTTCTTCATGTGCTGCTTTACAGAGACAGCTAAGATGGAAATATCTGGCTCAATTTTATTGATTAAAAGAGATATCACTATAGTCAGATGCACACAAACCCTGCCCTTGTACATTATGGCACAGCCCACATAGTAACAAAGTGTAGTGTAGAATGTGCTCAGCTCGAGTAGGTCAATATGGCTTAAGACAGTTGTTGCTTTTTAGGTAACTAGCTCTCAGAGGAGCTCGAGACATTCACCTGGGAGATGAAAATAAGACTTTTGTAGCTCTAGCTTAAAAT